CTGCGTCTAAGCTTTAAAAAGGCCTGGCAGCCCCTATTCCTCACCTGAATGAGTACTAAACTGCCATTTGGGAAGTGAGAACTTCTGGAGAGGCCCTAGAGCCCCACAGGGGAAACCCCTTTTTCCAGGGTCTCTGCCAAAGCATGAGATACATGAATGAAGCCATTGTGGATCGTCCAGGATTGGTCAGCATCTGACTACTGCCACACGTCAGACCACAAACAAGAGCATAAGAAAAAGGCTCCAGGTAAATTCTGGCCAGCCCATGGAATAGTGAGAAATGCTTCTTTAAAAAGAAAAAATAGCTATTGTCCTCTCCTGGGGATCATTTCTGAAGATGCAGCATGGTGAGTTGCATGATTCTAACTGTAGTGACGAATCTTTCCATGCCGCCAGTCAACACTATCTATTTCCACCAGTCCTCTTCCCTGGCTCAGAATCACTCCTAGAGAACACGGCACTGCTGAGTTTCCACCTCCCTGCAGAAATTCTTTAAATCAGAATGGAGTTGGAGCCAAGGGCATAAGTGGACCAGAGGATCCTAATAGGAAATGATGTGTAAAAGAGTTAGAAATCCAAACTCATTACTGTGGCTGCCGGTGTTGTACTGACTTCTCCTGCCGGCAGATATACGGCACGTGTTCTTCAAAGCTAATGTGCCAACAGAAGGTCAAAACGCCGTGCCTCAGTACAAGACTTACAAATTTGGGATCTCAAGTGTGATGTCATGTCTTAAAATGATAAGCTGGGCCAATGAAAGAAACGGCATTCTGCAAAGAACATGCGCCGTTCTCGTGTTTACGCTACTTAAGATGAAGGTGCTAGTAAGTCATGGGCTATGTTGCTTTAAAGGGAAGTTTTATAACTGAGATGAATCACAACTGCACAAGATCAAAGTTGAAAAACATCAATGATGCCATGGGGTACTTTTTAATCTTGTAATGAGTGATGATCATGTGCTCTTATGAAGTGAGTCCAAACTGCCAGCGCCAGATGTGTATATTAAGAAAGGGAGTTGTTTGTGATGCGACGGTCCTGGCTCAGCTGCCAGAGACAAAACACACACACACACACACACACACACACACACACACACACACACACACACACGGAAGGATGAACCCTTTCAGTTTTGGCTGAAAAGCAAGTCTTGGCAGATGTGTTGATAAGTAGGGCCTCGGAGTGGGACTGGGGTGTCACACAGCACAGCACCCTGCCTGGGAATCTCATAGCACACAAAAGTGTTGCCCACCAGTTTTGCACAGTTCTCCCTGGTCAGTACGATATAAACATCTGCTCAAAACACAACTTATAACATGGATCAGTGTTATTTACTATTGTGCAAAAATGAATAAAGCTTTATTGGGGGGGACAACACAGTAGAGAGCAGATTACATATCACCTGTTTCCTGGACACACACATAAAAGTCTGCACGAGGTTCTGAGAGTGCGGCAATAGCTAACATTTAATGAGCGCTTACTACACGACAGCTACCATACTCCTAGTTTACATACCATGTGTGCACTTGTCTCCTTAGGGCAGTCTTACACCATGTACCACTTAACATTCTTTTTTTTTTTTTTTTTTTAGTTTTTAGAGGCAGGGTTTCTCTGTGTAGCTTTGGAGCCTATCCTGGAACTCACTCTGTAGACCAGGCTGGCCTCGAACTCACAGAAATCTGCCTGCCTCTGTCTCCCTAGTGCTGGGATTAAAGGCGTGCGCCACCAGCACCCCACCCCGCTTAACATTCTTACAGCAACTGATAGGAAAGATAGTGTTTTCATTAGTGTTTAAAAGATGAGAAAAACAAGGCAAAGAACAGTTAGGGAACCTGTCTGTCTGCAGACACCTAAGAAATGCTGGCTTTAGGATTTCAGTCCAAGCAGTGTGACAGATCCAAACAGTGAACTCACAATGTGTCCTAGCCCAGTCCTCTGGACCACTGGAAACAATGGTTTCAGTATGTAGGAAGGTCTTCAAGGGAAAGGCAAGGAATCCCACTGATAAAGGATAGCGCCAGGTCCTTGACTCCTTCAAGTCACTCAAATAACAAAGGGAAATCTGCAACTTTGATCACAGCTGCTTCAGGAATCACAATTGGGGGAAGAATGACTCAATCAATTGTATTGATTATATTTTCTCTGTGTGTAGGGAAGCCTTCTACTAAAACCTCTCTCTGTTGAAGGTTGATCAAATAAGCCACTTGACTTCTAGAGCATGGATGGAAAACTCTAATTTATGGGCCACATCTGGCCCATCCCTTGTTTTTACAAAGCTTGGGGGGGTAAAAAGATATCTTTATTGCTATTTGTGTGTATGTGTGTGCCTACATGTGTAAGTGTGCACCATGTGGATGCAAGGGCTTGCAGAAACCAAAAGGTCCTCTGAAACTGTACTTACAGGCAGTTGTGAGTCACCTAATATGAATGTTGAGAATCCAACCTGGCTTCTCTACAAGAGCAGTTGCACTCTTAATTGATGAGCTATCTCTCTGGCCCTGTAAATAACGTTTTACTTAAATACGGCTGTGGCTACTTGTTTGCATATTGACTTAGACTGCCTTTGCACTAAAATGGCTAAGTTGAGTCCTTGTGACATAGTGGAGTCCTTATGACAGATGCCCGAGAACAAGGGAGAAGGATAGAACCCAGGCATGTCCAAGCTGTAGGTTTAAATAGTTACTGATAACCAGATGCATCCCTACATCCAGGCAAGTAACCATACAGTGGCAGGGAAAATGCCATCACATTTTCAGATAGTATATATTTTATAAGAAATGCTAGCCACATGTGGTGGTGCACGCCTTTAATCCCAGCACTTGGGAGACAGAGGCAGGCAGATCTCTGTGAGTTCAAGACCAGCCTGGTCTACAGATTGAGTTCCAGTACAGCCAGAACTATTACATAGAAAAACCCTATCTCTTAAAACCGGGGAGGTGGGGGGGGGGATGCTACATGGACAGGGAGTCTTGCACTCCTAGATCTGACAGTGCTTCCTGCCCTCCCTTAGGACTACCCAAAGCACACACTCAGATCACACGTACAGCATGCCTCCTCTATTCCAAACCCCCACAGCCTGCAGGGCACATGTCTGTCTTCACAGGCCAGAAGATCTATCAGCTAATTCATGCTGCCCCCCATCTCTTTGAAATGAGAAACTAACAACCACGCTGGAATCAGAAGTAGCTTTCCCAAGCTGCCAGCCTGCTCACCTTTCCCCATCTCTTTTAAATTGGGCCTCCCCCCTAACCGCCGGCTGAGAAACACCCATCTTCACTATAAACACGCATGCACTCAGACAGACAGATGCGCGCGCGTGCGCGCGCGCGCGCACACACACACACACACACACACACACACACACACACACACACACCAGCAGCTTCTCTGTGTACTGAAGAAAGCCACTGGGATGAGCAGGAGCCACGTTTCGAAGGCAAATATTAGTGGTGTTGAATAAATATTAGAAGGCTATCATGATGTCCTATGCACCAGGTAAATGGGTCTGCCTCTTCGGCACCTCTAGACTTATCAGGAAAATGGTTGTCTTGCCTCAGAAGGAAATCAACCCCGATTCACGGCAATCCAGAAAAGACTAGCAAAGCCCTAGCCAGTCAAGACATCTTTGCTCTACTGTCTTCACCTGTGCTGCATGACCTCTGACCCTTGAGACTTAAGATTTGAGGGCTCTCACATGTGCCACACATGAACCAAACCACTTAATAGGACATTCCCAAACTAGACAGGGCCAGCGCTGACCCAACATTAGGAATTTGGAAGAAGCTGGTACACGTGAAAGGGGGGGGAACCAATCCTCAAAGACTGCTTTTGGGAGCAGGAAACCTTTCTCACTCAGGCAAGCAGTCAGCTTTTGTGGAGAAGACAGCAGCGGAATGGACGGGGGCTACTGTATGAGCCCCTGGCTGAAAGAATACACAGCCGCAGAAGGGACAGGGGCTACCTGTGAGCCCATTGCTAAAACATATGAAGCAGGAAGAGGCTTTGCCTCTCTAGACCTCCTCTCTTACTCCAGGGGAAGGAAAGAGGCCAACCTCACTGTCTGGGTAGGGGCATCATCTCAGAACTTCTATCTGCCAAATTTAACTTCCTACAAGCAATGCCTCAGACTCCGAAATATTCAGCCAGCAAAGACAGAGCTTTCTATGATATTCATATCATATTATATGGAGCAGAACTCTTCACACTTCAAATAAGCTTTACTCTGTAAATGTATCTTAACGCTGCTGCCAAGCTTGCTCAAACCGCCGTGGGTGGCAGGAGCACAGGGGAAGCCAGTCAGATCTGCCGCAGATTCAGGAAGAGAATCAATATTGGCCCAGACAGAGTAAGTACACTACCTTCAGCTGACTACTGGATAGGCAAGGAAACCAATGTGAACTTAGCCTATTTAGTGCCTCTCTGTTAAAAGGAACTATCTATAACACTTAGTAGAAAATGACCATACAACAGTGTTGTAACAATGAAGCAAGTTATCATTTGCAAATAAAATCTTTGTAATTAAGCCCTGTGCTCTTTACAAAAGGAACTGAGTGGGTGAGCTAAAATGCATTCTTGGGCCATGGGAAACACACACAAATGCTTTTTGACTAAGTTTAAGATTTTAAAGTTTGTAATTTGCTTCCACAGCCTCCTGGGTCCCTTTGGCCCTGCCCACCCGGCAGGATGATGGATAAGCAGAGTTTCTTAGCTAAAAGTAACCATGATGAGTAGCTGTCCGCTTGTTCCCCAAAGTTAACAAAGCCTTAAGAAATTCTGTGAGAAAGGCTTAGCTGTAATTTTCTTTTCTACTAACTGTAAAGTTCTATTAACAGTCCTTCCCTAAAATATATATATATATATATACATATATATATATATATATATATATATATATTATACAGTGACAGTGGTACTGACTCCTTCGGAATAAATTCTTTACAGGGTCTCCACAAACTCTCTTAGCATTTTCAATAAAAATAAAAAAAAAGGCGAGTACTTACTTCTCGGCTCCCGGGGGCCATCCACTGTCACTTTAATAGCTCTGTGATAAGTGGCCACTTGGGGAGGATTTGTGAAGACTGTTATGGTCAAGGTGAAACTCTTGCCTGCAGATAGAAGAAGGGAAAGCACGGTGACTGTAAATGGGCGGCATTGGTGACCCCACAGCAATGTATATAGACATCCAAATGTCACTGAAGTATCTCTGAGGGACCAACCAATCAGGAACCCTTCCTCTATGCCAGAAACCCACTTGGGAACACTTCTGAGCTTGCTCCTGGTTAAGATCCCAGTCTTTCCTGAGGTTCTGTGCAAGAAGCCTCCAGCAACGCCCCCATCCCTACCCCAATCGTCTCCTGAGAAGTGAGAACAAAGCCCTGGGGTCCCCTGAAGAGTGGGGAAGCACCTCTGTTTTTCCACCTTTCTTCAGCATCAGGAACACAACCCTGTGTGAGGGCTGAAAATTTTGGAAGTCTTTATTTAGGATCCTAACCCTTGAGAAAACAATAGCAAATTTTTACTGGTGATGCTGTTTACATCACAGGGCCTTAGCCTTGCCTCTGCTTAAGTGAGCCGCCTTAAGAAGAAAGAGGGAAGCCCTGTGGGAATCATTTCAACGGGAGCCCATGTCTCCTGTCCCTGCCTTAATGCACCCTTGGTATATGAGTTTATCAGGGGGCAGTTTTCTCCGGCCTCCCCTAACATACATCTCAGAGCTAAGTCTTGAAGGAACTCGATACAGTAACTTCTTTTTTTCTCTAAACAGGCATACACCTCTGGACACAAACATGAAGCTTTATTTTTTGGAAGAGTTTTTCTGCAGTGATATATTCCTTCTGATGCTTCAAACTGATGAGCTAAAAGTGATGAATTGTGGCGTGGGGGCAGGGAAGAGTGTGGTAACAGATCTGAATGTCTGCTTTCTCCAGAAGATACTGGTCTCTGTTCTACAGGCTCACTGACAGTTGTAATCAGTTAGATTTGCAATGGTTAGTCATGTCAGATAGTCAAAACTGCAAACTGTTACAACACAGGAAAAGGTGGGCGTGAAACAGTGACTCAATAAAACATCAGCAGGCTGAGCCAGAATGCTCGGCGTCTGCCCCTGCAGCAGATAAAAAGCTCCTTTTGTTTTGCTTTGTTTTTTTGGTCAGATTTTCCCCCCTTCTACTGAAAGCTGGGAGTACTAAATCAAAACACAAATCTTAGACAATATGTAGCAATGTGAAGTTTAATGCAATCTTTTCATAGCTTAATATGGAACAGGTTATACGCCAGGCTTAATGGAGAACAGGTCTTTGGCTGTCAAGTCTACTGAATGGCTTTTCTTTTCAAACCAGACCATGTAAGTTCCTAAAATCTGGTTAAGAAACACATCATTTGTTACTGTGTGTGGATAGTCTTATGACTCTTGACTGCTTTTCCATAGCTAAGGGGGTTAAGAGGGAAAGACAAGGCAGGAATGTGGGAAGGCATAGAATTAAGACATATTGATTAGAAACTCATTAAGTTCCAGCCACATCAACCACATTATCTAATTGAACCATCCTCAGTTAGAATCATCACCCCAACTCACAAATGAGGAAACCTTAGCCCAGAGAAGCTCAGTAATTTACCCAAGGTCATGCAATTAATAAGCAAGGAAAATCAAGAAGTAAACTCAAACCTTTGTGACCTTAAAATAAATACTCTAGGGTAGAGATATAACTGGGAGATAGAGATAGGTAGCATGTGTAAGTTCAATTCCCCCAAACAGAAAAGAAAAAAGAAAAGGAAAGAAGGGGACAGAGGAGGAGGAGGGAGGGAAGGAATAGAGGGAGAAAGAACAGAGGAAAGGGAGGGGGAGGTAAAAGGGATGAAGGAAGGGGGAATAAAAGAGGTTTTTCCCATTTTACCATAGCATGTAAAAAAGACACAGGTAACTTACGTCTAGGTGTGTCCCAATTAGCTCCCTGCACCCAGGAAATAGTAAGTATAAATGGATTAATGTAATGGATGAAATTGTCTAATTTTAAGCATTACTGATGCATCATATCACATTTACTACATACAAGATAGTACATGGAATTAAGTACTTTAATTCAGTACAGAACAGAGGATTTATTGTAAACATTAACACTGGCCAGAAGAATAAGACTGTCAGGAATCTAAACCAGTCCCAGAAAACTCAAAGTCAACAGAAATGAAGATCAAAAAGTTGAGTAGGAGGCCCAGATTAAAAACTCAAAACAATGGCTGGGTCTCTAGATTCGAAGTTAATTTGCATTAAGACATTTTAAATACAGCATTCTGGGTGAGATCAGTGGTCCACAGACTCAGAGTTATATTTCCAATAGTGGCCATGGCTAGAAGACAGCATCCCTGGTGCTAACGTTAACACATCAAGAATGCCTGTGGTTTGCTTTTTCGTAGTGTCTCTACATGACCTGCCATTGAAAGTGTCTGTGAGCCGGGCGGTGGTGGCACACGCCTTTAATCCCAGCACTCGGGAGGCAGAGGCAGGCGGATCTCTGTGAGTTCGAGGCTGGGCTGGACTGATAGCCTCGAAAACAATACAGAGAAACCCTGTCTCGTAAAAACCAAAAAAAAAAAAAAAAAAAAAAAAAAAAGAGTCTGTGAACATATCATGACTGGTTTGGGGGGTGTTTCTATTTTGAAGCTTTACAGCCTGCTTGGAGAAAGAGTCATCTTTGCTCCTTTCAAAGTCAGAGAAACACACTTCAGCTACAAACAGAGCCTGATATGGAATCCACCCTTCAAGCCCAGAGCATCAAAATAGCCAGAGATGAGCTAGTCCTCCCTTTTGAAAACTTCACCAGGGCTGGAGAGTTGGCCCAGTGGTTAAGATCACATGGAGGCTCACCACTTCCTCAGGCACCGGGCATGCACATGGTACACAGACACACGCAGGCAAAACGCTCACACACACAAAAGAAAAACAAATCTGGAAAAAAAACACTAGTGAAAAAGTAAATAAATAAACTCTTAAAAAAGGAGACAGCCAAACCTCCTTTAGAAAGAGGTAGGGTTGCAGGAGAAGTTGTCATCTTCCAGAATCGACTCCCAAGGCTCAAACTGAGCCTTTATGATAAAAGCAAAGGCAGAAAATGCTCTTTGTGCGTCTGATTGGCCCCTGTTTGCAGTGTGGAAGAAACTTCCAGAAACTCTGACCTGACTCACTAATTAGTTCATCTTATAATAATGCATTTCCTGAGTCAAACATTTATGCGGGCATTTGTGATTTCCTTAACTTAAAACAAAAAGTTTTCCAAATTCCACTTTCTAAAGCGATCAGTGGTACATGGATCCAGGGTTACAACTTTTTACATAATTTTACGTGCATGGGTGTTTTGCCCATAGGTATGTCTGTCCACCACGTGCATGCCTGATGCCATTGTTGGTTAAAAGAGGGTATTGGCTCCCCCTAGAACTAGAGTGACAGACAGTTGTGAATGGCATGTGGGCAATAGAAATCAAACTCACACTATAGAGCCATCTCTCCAGGACGCAAGATTACATTCCTAACAGTGGCCCCAAGGGCTGTAGCAGAAAGGTTCCATCTACAGGTGATCCACTAATACAAGACTAGTGGAGCTATTTATCACAAATCTTACTTGGGCTGGGAAGGTGACTCAGTGAATAAAAAAGGCCTGAATTCAGATTCTCAGCACCCATGTTAAAAAAACAAACAAACAAAACAAAAGCCAGGCATGGCAATGTGTGCCTGTAACCCCAGCACTGGAGGGCAAAGCCCAAGAGGACCATGGGGAATATAGAACAGATGATCTAGCTGGCACAGTGAGCTGCCTGAGAGACCATGTCTGGACAAAGAGAAAGAGACTGAACAAGCTGTCTGAGAAATCTCTGACCTCCACAGGCACAGGTACCAAGCACACACACGTACAAACATATTCATAACGGCCTGACACACAGAATTCGAATCCTACTTAGGCAGAGCTAATTAATGTCATCCACAGTTTCATCTAGGAACTAGTCCTGTGACACTGCCCAAGGTCATACCATTTCTTAGACACACAGGGGGACTGTCACTGAAAGACAATTCCAACCTAGCCTTAGAGGCTGCCGGAAGAGCCAGGCTATAAACAGGATTGTGTCCCACAATGACAAAACACCACGCTCTGTGCATTGTAAATGCTTTAAAAGGCTTGTAAATTAAAAGCAGCATGCTTGATGTCCAAAGAGAGGAAGCACACCGAAGAAGGAGGACAAGGAAGAGGAAGAGAAGGAGGAGGAGCAGGAGGAGGAGGGGGGAATGGTCAAAGTCAGTTTAAACACTTTTGTGTAAAATGTAAGGAGAAAGAGGAAGAGACAATTAAAAACATAACTTCATGCAAGTCTCTCAGATGCTGAACTTTATCTCTGGCATTTTTGAGTGCTGAGTCCTGCAATGATCTAGGAAGCAATAGAGAATGGAAACATTGAAAAATCTAAGGCCCAGTTTTCAATTTTAGAGAGTCTATGTTTCCACAAGTGAAAAGGTTAAAAGAAACAGGATATTTGTGGAACTTGGCTTTTGTTTTGTTTTGGTTCTCTTTTCTTTCAAACGCCATCGACGACACATTTTGTGAAGTTTCAAGAGAAAGATCCATCATCATCGCACAAAGCATGCAGCGAGGACTTAGCAACAGAGATGAAGATGTGTGACAGTCAAAGAGGAAGCTGGGGACAGCCTTGTAAAAAGCAGGTCAGGCATAAGGGTTTCCTGCCACTGAAAACCTGACTCATTTTCGTCGAGAGCTGTCTCTCTGGCTTTTCTCTCTCTCCATTTTAGCTTAATCGGATTGCTTCCTCTCATTCAAAGTAACATAGCAATATAAAATCTATTATTAGTGATAAATCAATTTCTCTCTCTTTTTCTCTCTCCACCCACTCCCTCCCCCCCTCAACCCCAAGTCTTGAAGACAAGTCTGGACCAATTTCTCCATCCTGCCTCTGGCAGCAGACTGGAGCACTTCAGATCCTCCACCACGTCCCAGCTGCTTCAAAGGAAAAATCCTACTTTCTTCAGTTAAGATCATAAGAAATATAGGGGGAGGGGGTCAGCTCTGTTTGGACATAATTACACTTCATCAAAAGAGGCTTCCTTCATCTTCCATGCGTGAAAAGTCTGCAAGCAGTTAAGTCTGTCTTTTTTTTTAATATAAAAATTGCTATTTGGGAAACCAGCCAAAACTCAGAAAGCCAATATAGTAAAACAGCGCACACCCTTTGTTTCCTTTTGAAGTTTCTTAAATAAATATGTTGAGGGTTTACAAAGTACACTATCACTCTGCCATAGTTTCTAGTCAAATTGATCAGAAAAAAGGGTGATTTACCATCTATATAACCCAAAAGTGCAATAAATGAAAACACAAGTTTGAATCTGTAAAATAAAATGAAGAGTAGCAGCCCATCGTTTAAATATTAAAATTCACTACTCTGGTCACTGTAATATAAGAAGAAAGATGCAATTTAGAAGATCCAGGAACATCATCATGTTTGCAGTTAGAGCATACAGGTACTTTATTATGTTTACTTCTTGTTTTCAGGAAGAAAAGGGAGAAACTTAACTCTATTGTGACTCTGCAACAGTAACTAAGAAACAAATGAAAACATAAAGAGAGTACATGAAAGAATGAATGAATGACTGTACACACACACACACACACACACACACACACACACACACACACCCCAACCCTGATCAGTCACTAAAGAGAAGCTATGCCTTCTGGTCCTTCTAATGAAGGAGCACAGAGCCTGTTACAGACACAAATCCTTTAGTGTGGTCCTCTCAGAGGCTCTGCACCTCATTTTCTTTCAAACCTTTCAGTGACAGCATCTCGTTAGCATGCATTCTTTTTTTATTTTTTTCCTTAAGTTAAAAAGTACAGCTTCTTGGCCCCATTCCTAGAAAGTAACTAAAACTACTCATCGGAAACAGTCTTGCTTAAATTTCCCTTATCAAGTTTTTACAATGGTAATAATTTGACATATGACCCCAAACTAGAGAGTAATTATTAGACATGGTTTAGAATGGGTGTTTCTCATTTCCTGATTCAAACCTGGCTGCAGTGAATAGGCACACAGGGTTCATGGTTTCACTTCACCTCAGTTTTAAAATGCTCCCACTTTTTTTTTCTCTTCTTAGTGTAATACTTAAAATGGAAGTATTAGAGTCAGTAAACTGAATGGACATAATACTTCCGATAGGTGAATAACCAGTAGCAGTCTCTCTGGAGAATAAGTAAATAAAAAAACAAAATATTGATTTCCTCAGAGACTCCATCAAAAAAGAATTCCACTTCCGAAGCAGGGGTGAAATCCTTAAAAGGCTTACTTCCTGTTTTATCACTCTACTAACTGTTCCTAATATCTTAATGTGGGTTCAGATAACTGAAGACCGGAAACACTGTGGAGCCACTGAAATCCTGATCAGTTGTCTAGGTGATTTTGACTTTATACTCGTTCTAACATAAGTAATTCATTTATTCAAACACCAGGCTTGGCGACCTTTAATCCAGCACTCTAGAAGATAAGTCAGGCAGATCTCTGAGTTTGAAGCCAGCCTGATCTACACAGCAAGTTCTAGGACAGCCATAGTAAGACCATATCAAAACAAAAACAAAAAAAGCGAACAAACAGTGATTTTAAAAGATTCTTATTATAAGACTAATTGAAATCATTCAGAAGTGGCATCGCCAAGGGAAGACAGTGCTCTAGCTGTCCCCATTTCAACTCAGAGTAAAGCTGATACTGTCGGAAATGTTTCCAATGCAATCACCTTCCTTTCCCCGCTGCCTTTCAGTCTAGTGAAGTCATGTGACTCCTCATAATTCAGAATGCGATGCCCCAAACATTCTTTTCCCTACTGTACCCACTAACCCCCCATGAAATTAGGAGCAAGTTCTTCTGAAAACATGGTTTGACTCTTCAATATCATAAAACAAATGAAAAAGGCCTAAATACTCAGGAAAACACTTAAGGGCATCTGGATTTATTTAAACAACCCCTTGGTGGTTCTGTTTCAGTAAAAAGATGCTGAGTCGCATGCAGACAAGTCCACATTGCATCAGAGAGCCTAATTGCATCCATGATAAGTATTAAAAACCAGAGACCTACCTCGTCCACTCCGGCCCACGAATCTCAGATCGTTGAACCTTGCTACTTGGTTCTTCATAACAGCAGAGGCATTCCGGAGCTCAGCTGAATAATTCTCGTCATTCCCTGCCATGACAGTAACCACAGTCCCATCTGGTACTTCTCCGAGGGCTACCACCTACATAAAACAGGAAATACAGAAGGAACAGTGGCACATCAGAAACGCTTAAGGACTGAGAACACATGCTCACTGTTAAATGATGTCTTATCAGGCCCCAGGGCTGTGGTCCAGTGATGCCAGACCAGAAGGGAAGCACCTGTATTCGGGTTGTGACACCACTTCAGACACACTCATGTTTCAGGGTCCACCCAATTTGAAAGCAAGCTAAATTTTCCTTTATTTAGTATACAGTTCTTCACAGAATGTATGCACATTTTTATTAAATCCCCATGCTAGACTGTCTGCAGGAATTACAGTTCAGAAAGAAAGCTGATGCCCCATCTGCAGATTGTACCACACATATTAAGGTGTCAACTGTCTACAGCCCCCAGAGCCCCGAGGTGTGGTCCCAAGTCAGGTCTTAAGCTAAAAACAGAGGAGCTGTTAGAGGTTCCAGAGACAGCTTGGTGAGTAAAGTGGTTGCTTTGGAAGCATGACGACTCGAATTCAGATCCTCAGCACCCATGAGAAAAGTTGGGGGAAGGCAAGTTGTGTGCGCAATCACTGCTGGAACGGGCCATCTTAGGGGGCTTGCCAGCCAGCCATCTTAGCCTAATTTGCAAGCTGCAGGCTCCCTGAGAGGTCCTGTCCCAAAACCTGAGCTGGGGGAGGAAAGAGATGGCTCCCCGGATTAAACACTTTCTACCAAGTTTCACTTGCGTTCCATTCCTGGGACCTACAAGGTAAGAGAGAAAGTGCCGGCCAGTTGTCCTCTGACCTCCAAACGCTCATGCATGCATGAGTGTGCACACAGGCATACATAAACATAATTTAAAAACCAGGTGGAGAGCCATTGAGGAAGATAACGCCAGTGTCAACCTCTGGCCTCCATATGCACTCTGACAGCACATGCGCCCGTGTGAGCGTGAGTGCGCATGCACACACTCATACACAGAGTTCCTGATTAGGTCTACGGAAAAGGACTATTCAGGTGAAACTCCTAGCTCCTGGATACAGAGCAGGTGGGCGGCGGATGTCTTACAATTCATCTCCTTACATAGGGCTACATGGTCATCTTTTAATGACACTGTGAATACACGCATGCCTTCTCTGCTGTGGGTCCCAGGGAGATAGACAGTCAAAGCTATCAGATGAATGAAGTCTGGGTACAGAATAAAGGCCACACAAGGCAGAAAATGACCACAACAAACGAGTAGCACAATCAAGATATATATATACCCTGGGCTGGGGAGATGCCTCGGTTGGGAAAGTGCTTTGGCCCAGAATTTGATCACTAGAGGAAACATAAAAAGCCGGGTGTTGTTGCATATGCTTGTCATCCCAGCTCTAGGGATGCAGAAAAGAAAAGAAAAAAAAAAAGGAAGGTTAGGGCAGATCAGCCATCCCACCCCAAACAGCAAGTTCTAGGACCCACCACGGAACCACAGAACAAAATCCAAGAATAAAAAATAAAAAAGCTCCAAAAGAATGACACCTAGTGTTGACCTCTGACCTCCAAATGCACACACATGCATTGCACCGGCACATAAGTAAGCACACACCCACACCCACAGCCCCATTTTATTTCGCCTCCTGTGTTGGAATGCCACATTTGCCCCCATTGTCTTCAACAGTTAGTCTGAAGCTCATCCGTGCAGGCAAGATACAGGGTAGCCTGGCTCCGAGGCGTTTTAGGAGGTGTGTGACGGGTATTTTGTTTTAAACAGAAAGATGGCTCAGCAGGTAAGATACAGGACAGCACGCGGTCAGAATCACTTCATCCTAGGCTTGCTGAGTATCTCGGGTTAGCATGGAACCTTGGTGAGACAATGCTGGCCATGGGGGGAACCTTCCCTGTCACATACAAAAGCATTCGGCTCTCAGTCCACCACCAAGACCCTGCTCCTCGGTGGCAGCCCCTCCCTCTCCAGTAACCCCCAGAATCCTCTGCGCAGCCCGCTGCCCTCTCTTGTGGTAACTTGGCCCGGGCTCCAGCCGCAATGGCTGTTCTGACAAGGCGCCCCTGTATAATTGTCTCTCTAGCGAGCCCCTGCTTGGTCTTTTCCGGCTTCCGCTGCTTTGCTCTCATTTGTCAAAAATCCCATACAACAAATATAGATGATCCGGAACATATTGGGTTTGTATCCTCCTTAGAGTGTATTTCTTGTCCAGTGATAAACAGGTACTATATCTTAGGACTGAATTGCTCCTGTCTGTGACCCCCGCCCCGTTATAGCCTCTCTCCCATACAGGAAAACAGTCCAATAAAACCTTGCCAAGACTTTTGGCACTTTTGCTTGACTCTTAGGTTGCCCCTCAGTTTCTTTAGTTTTGTACTTTGCTGAGTTCAAAATCAAAAAGTTTAAACTGTAGAACTCACATTCCCAGTGTTTGATGAGTATTTTTTTTAAATAGAAGCCAAAAAGATGTCTCAGTGGGCAAAGTGCTTTCTGTGCAAGCATGGGGGCTGATTTCAACTCCTCGGAGCCCACGTAAAGGCCAGGCACAAAAAGATGCAGGACTGACATTTGTAACACCAGCACCCTTACTGGGAGATGGGGTGAGCAGAAACTTATGAGTCATTTAACCTGGTACACAGCAGCAAACAGTGAAGAGGCTGACTCAAACAACATAGGAGACAAGGACCAATGTCTCAGGATGTCCTCTGACCACCGCACACATGCCATGGCACTCAGTAGCCTCACATAGAAATGTGTGCACTCGTGTGCGCGCGTGCACACGTGTGTGCATGTGTGTGTGTCTGTGTGTGTCTGTGAAACAAGCAAATGAAAGAGTTCCATAAAAAGCACTGTTCTCAGCAGCCAACAGCTTGCTTGCGGGCTACCAGCAAAATGCTGAGAGACCCGGTTGTAGGATGAGTCAGCATCCCTCAGGGTCCTTGGTGCAGACTGGTATTGCCTGGAGTACACAGTCGTTCTCAACTCGAGAAGTCTGCGGGGGTCAAAAGCAAATCCCTTGAGAACAAGACTTCCTCTCTGTCACCTTGGTCTAGCAACTCGGGTGGGGCCAGGGGAGTTACTAAAACAAGTGCTGTGCTCCTAAAGGTGAAGTGTTTCCCCGAAGCCAAAACTGCACATTTGAAAACACAGAAATAATTGACTATGTCTGCCAGTATTCATCTGAATATTAAGACATTTTGTACAGTCAGCAGATTGTATCTTAACACCTGCTGCCTGCCTTTCTATCTCAAAATAAATATTAATAAAGGTGAAAGAAAAGTACACTATTTTAGAAGAGACTATATGCACTAAAAAGCAAGAGACCACTTTTTTCCTCTGCTTTTCCTACATACCTACTATGACCCTTATACCAATCATTTCCTCTCTGACAACCATGGTCTTCCAATATAAAGTGAAAATAATTTTTTGATGCTGTGAAATGAAGAAGATGCCTCATAAGCACAGAGTGCCACTATAGTGATCTTGTCTTTAGTATGATAAGGACAGTGACAGTTTCCATGACTGCTACCTGCTAAATACAGGTTTTTAGTGGCAAACGTTCTTTAAGAGTGCCACTGAATATGTGATTCTTCACTTCATGGCCTCAAATGTGCTGCAGTTTTGTTGAAAGGGAAAGGATGACCCCTTGCCTGTTTCACTCCAACCATGCAGTTGATTCAGAAAATAATAATAATAAAAATAAAGAAATCTGCCTTAATTTAAAGGTTTTCAGGAGCTTCGAACATCATTATGTTACTACATATTTTTAGTATAATGGACTTTTTTTAAGTTAGAAGAGAACAAAAATTGGCTCAATAAGGGAAAATTTGAAAGAAAAGATTCCCAGAAGTGAAATATGTAAGTTCACTTTACTAAAGCAGAGTAATAATGCTTGTATTAAATATAGGTATGCTCTACATATCATATTTAGAAAAACATATGGATAATCACAAGCCACGTGTACCTTATATGAGGCTTAAAACTGGACCTGGCGAACATGCCAACACAGTCACAATCTTTCTGTTAAGGCTAGACTCCAGTCCAATGGCTAAAATACAGTGTATTTTCTGCCATTCATTCTACCAGACCAGATTGACCAATGTTTGTTCTGAGAAGGGGACAGCACATGTCTTGGGAGGGGGAGTTCTGTACTTAACTTTATATCATTCAGAAGTATAATTACATGTTTGAGACTTTTTAAGTAGATGTCTGAAGTTTAAAAGTTTCCTTTGAATTTTCTCAACCATGTTTATCTAAAAGAAAACCAAAGAATGAAGCAATTTTTACACGTTTCATCTGAACCAAACCCAAGTCATGAAAAAACATTTTAAGGGGTAAAAAGAACAATTAAAAAAAAAAAAGAAACACTCTTTAACCGGTGAGCCAGAGGCATTAACTGAGTATTTTTCCTGTGCTATCCAATATGAAGTACTGTTCTGCACAGAACAAAGTGTGATGAAATCATAATAATTACATTTCTAGGTGTTCTTAAAATATAACAATTACAAAGTCAAGAAAAGCATGAGAAAGAGAGAAGTCACTTTCTGTTCTAGCATTCCAGAATTGAGAAAAAAAATTCCTTCATTTAGCGCACTCCACTGTAACCAGCATCTAAGCCACACAACATGCAGCTGGTTCAAAATGAAGTTAAGGAGTATTTCACTCTAGTGATGTTGAAATTTTGTCTGAGACCCACTCTGACTAAATCTGTGTCTCACGCTGAACGAGGAGTGATAGGGAACTTAACTTAGCCCCCTAGTTCTGTGGTCTCACCATACTGGGAGTTAAAAATTGCCCATGACATTTCCATGGACAGCAGTTTAGTCTAAGCTAATCAATTACCCTGACAGGTTAACATTATTTCGGCATATTGCACATGTAGTAAAATGAAATATAATTATTTCCGAGATAGAATCTGATCATATCTTCCTTTGTAATGAAGAGCAGGGCAACTCAATAATTGGAAGAAATGAAAACAAAAGAAAACTATCCTTTTTAAACTATAAAAATATTTCAATAAATACTACAGTGAGGCTTTAGAACTTAATCCATGAAGGCATCCTCAACTCATTTAAAAAATTGAATTCTAAAAGAAAAATAAATACGATATATCATCTCACAAATTTAAATATATGTCCAACAAAAACTGGTTTGCAATCCCTGTGCCATGAATCACAATGGCTTAGATCATCTAACAGTGAATATTCTAGAACTCTGAAAATACACATGCAATGATGCCAAAGGAGAAAATACAAAGAAGGATGCCTACCATACCTTTACTCAAATATAAGTTTCCCAAACTCTAAGAAAGTATGTATGTTCTATCTAAAATTCATTCTAACTTACTAGTAAGTTAAATATAAATACATATTAGTAAGTTAGAATAAATTTTATATATACATATGTATGTTCAGTACCACAATATTTACCTTTAAATGAATTTTTTTACAAAAAAAATGTGTCCTGTCTTCATACAACCTGATGTACTATGATTGACAGTTTGTATTAGGTTTAGTAAAGATTTGACAAGCTCAATGATATCATCCCTTATTAAGCTACAATTAGATTTTTTAAAGATACAGACAAAATCTAATGATTAAATGCTTAAGAAAGACATAACTCGATAACACCAAGTATATATAAGTTGCAAACTTGCTTTTTAAAGAAAGAAAAATGGCCAATGCCGTCAACAAATCAGTCTCAAATAGAAATTGCACCATCATTTGGAAACTCTTTTCATTACCACTGGAAGATGTTATTAAAAATTAGAACATTAGTTATGTGCACTTGATCATTATGTTTAAATATGCATCCTTCTATAACATGACTAGAAAGAAGCGGTATCAGTGAATATAGATGGTCTCATGTTCTCTAACTTAAAACAGTAATATGGGCCTATGCTACCTCGAGTTTTAAGATATCCATCTGGATGTCAACATAGTGTTTCAGCTTGAAACTATTTAAGGCAGCTTAGTTATGAGCAGCAGGCTTCACATTGGAGATGCTGACAGGCCCCTAACTCAAAGGGTGCTACTGGATGCCGGGTTGACCCATTCCAGCCACTCTGTCTACCAGACAAACCGGCAGCTCCTGTGCTGAATTTGCAAATTGCTTTGTCCTGTCACTAAAATCATCTGTGACAGAAAGGGCCTAGCATCCTCAAATAGGAGGCCTAAAACTATTTTAGGGTTTTAGTGAGATACACCCGAAAGAAATGTTAAAAATATTTATCTCCATTTCCTTGACACCTGGGAGGACTGGCTATTTCAAAACTACAGAAATTTTGTAAAAGTACGATGGTGACAATTAACTTTGCATGAAGACCACTAGCTGTTTTGTTTTGTTTTGTTTTACATGTTGGATGTAAATTAAATAAGGACATTTTTTTAAAAAATTCCTCAAATTATATTACGTGAACAATACCAATAGATTCTGTACTTTTTAATATAATCCATTGTCAATATCATGTTGAAGCACTATTTAAGTTATCAGATAGCAAAACAGTTTACTGAATTCATTTCTAGTTGACTGCCGTCAACTTTGTGTCACAAACGTAAAGTATGGGCTCAATAAATATTGTATTAATTGGGACAGTAGATTTCTCAACAATTGTGTTCTCTCAGTCAGGAGTTGGGCGGTGGGGGGGGCGTGTTTTAAGGGCATTTACCTGTCTGGTTTTTACCAATACTATAATTCATTTGCACTTAGCTCTGGATATGATAGCCAAATTGCTGTCACCACTTTTGAAACGGGGACTTCTTCATATTATTTCTTCACCGCAGATGTATTTCATTATGTTGAGAGGGTTTAAGAAGTCTGTTGTGCTCATGCATTTATTCCCAATGCAAGTTATTTTTAGAGGCTGCTATTATATCATTGAGATGAAAATCATAAAAGTTGCTGTCAAATTTTGAACCTCCAAATATCCATTCTTTTTTAAAGCAGAGGGACAAAAATGTTAGGAGTGAGCCTCAACTCTCACCCACTTTTTGAATGTGGGCAGAACACTGAGTCAAGCCCTAGGTTAATTCAGTTTATTACAAATTTAAATATTGCAATATGCCCTATGTTATCAATGGTCTGTTTGCCAGTTAAAATAAGAAAAATGCACTCTGTAATTAGAATGCTTAGCAACAAAGAAATTCATTTCCAAAGAGTTTTAGAAACTCGTCAGAAAATCGAGGTCTGAAATCCAAGACAAGTTCAAATTGAATTGCAATCCATTTCTGTACCCCAATTCTTTCCTTGCAGAATGCTTGTGTTCAATATCAATTCAACATTTAAAATGAACAGTTCAAGACAGTTGTACCCTAAGTCTACTCACACCAGAAGGTGCATACAACACCAGACAGTGAATTAATAAAGTTAAATCTTTAAACTTCAAGGCATAGCCTTGCATAGACAAAGTAGCTAGTTATTTGTGATTCCTGTACTTTCATTTAGGTTTGAAAAAAGATTTTTGCTTGTTTTGGGGTTTTTGGTTTTTTTTTGTTGTTGTTGTTGTTAAAAATAATGTCTACCCTCACAAAGACTGCTTAGAAAATGCTGGGCCCTTGGCTAACAAACACTGTAAAAAAATACCTCTCATATGGAAATATCATTTTCTACAATTTCACCTATATCTGACCTTTTCACATTACAACAAAAACATTAATCTACAAAATGGATGTTCTCAAAAAGGAGAAATGTGTTATGTCCTTACACTAAAAAGGAGAAATGTGAGGTGTGTGTGTGTATGTGTGTGTGCACCCGTGTGTGTTTAAGGAGCTCTACTTGATTCAACTACAAAATGAAACTTTCGATAGAAAGCAACACACACCTCTTCAATAAGAGCCCATTCAGATTCCTGTTCAGATAGAAGACCTAAGAGATAGACACCTAACTGCTCCAGTTGACCTGGGCTCCTTCTGCCACCCCACCCACACATGGAATCTGAATTGGTGCGTGGGGTACCGGTGATCAACAACTGGGAAATGCGAGGGGCCCGTGGGAGTTTGGCACCAGAGTTTTGGATGAAGGAACTGGCACAATTCCCCCTTATTTCTCCCCCCCACCTTTCTTTCTTTCAAGATCATACCTAACCTGCTCTCCACGGATGGTAGGTCCCAGGCCCACCCACTAGAGCTGGAGGTGTCTTTGGACTCATCTACCTGGCTGGCTCACCCCCCTCCATCCCTAGCATCTAGACCAGTAGAATGGACAGGCAGAAACAGCACAGTTGGTGTGGGGGTGCTCCACGCCAACGCCACCTTCCTGGATGGCTCCCGGGAGCCCCAGGCTACAACATAGAGGCTGGGGACCCAAACTCCTTCAACCTGCTGGAGGCTGCCCATGACTCCCACCGCTACCGGTACTGGCAAGCTAACGGACTCCAGCGGAGGAGGCCACAGGGGCGCACCTTGGCGCCCAGGCCGCCGGCGGGAGACACCCACCGCCTTTCCCAAGCAGAAGGGACTTCTCGGGGTTCCAGCTCTTTCAAGGCAATAAAGCGAATCTACGAATTTTCACCTCCGTTTCCATTCTGACCAGCCAAAGTTGCTCCTCTAGTTTCCCTCTTCCTCCCAGGCGGAGCGAGGCGGGAGGAGGCAGCCTAAGCCCCGACCCCCTTCCCAGCCGCTCAGCCCGGCACTCGGGGATCTAGCGCCCTGGACCCCGCAGCTGTCAGGCTTCGATAAAAGCGAGGACCCCGGCGACCCGGCATTCCTCCCAGTAACGGGAACCGGAGCCTCGCCAAGGAGGGCTCCAATGTCCCAGTCTGTCCCCGCTGCCCCACATCCCCAAGTTTGCTGAGCACCCTCAACCCTCTTGCCAGGGTTGACACCACATCCCGTCCCAGGCGCAAGCATCCTCCGACGCCGGCATCCCGCGGGCACCCAGCCGAAGCCTGGGAGCTGTGGGGACTGCCAAGTGGCACCCAATCCGGGAAGGGGACGCCTAGCCTGGAGTAGCGGCCTGCGGCTATTGGGGAGGCGTGAAGGAGAGCACGGAATCCTGGAGAGAAGGCCCGGACTCCGGGGAGCAGTGCGGGGACCCGCGCCACCCGGGAAGGGGGCGGGGTGGAGCTAGCCGCTGGAGGCTCAAAGTGGGCACCTCGGGGTGCCTGAGGCCAAGGGGCTCTGGCAGGGGAATGGGTGAGAACAGTGGTTGGGAGACACGAGGGGTGAGCATGTAAGGGAACCTAGGCTGGGATGCGAGTGGGCACAGGTGAGAAAGGGATCTGCTCGCTCGCACGGTGACCCGCGGCGGGCTGTGTAGACCATGCTTCGTTGGTCCTGAGTCTGGGCCAAGACTGGAGTCTTGGAGGACACCCATGGGCACCGAGACCACTGCAGGCAGGTTCCACAGAGCCCGGCCGGGGGGCGAGGGGTGGCCAGTCCCTTACCTTGAAGGCCACAGGCAGGGTCTTGTTGCAACGCCAGTGCGACGGCAGCACGGAGCACAGGAAGTTGGGGCTGTCGGTGCGGACCAGTTCGGCCGGGTGGTCGGCGATGATCTCCACCATGGTGCGGTTGTCGTGCGGCGGCCTCAACCGGGGCACTGCCGCTGCTGCCGCTGCCGCCGCCGCCGCCGCCGCTGCCGCAGCCGCCGCCTCCTGCTGCTGCTGCTGCTGTTGCTGCTGCTGCTGCTGCTGTTGCTGCTGCTGCTGTTGCTGCTGCTGCTGCTGCTGCGCAGCCACCACCGGGCTCACGTCGCTCATCTTGCCGGGCTGCAGGCTGCTGGAGGGGGGGCTGAAGCGCCGGCTGGTGCTCGGATCTACGGGAATACGCATCACAACAGCCACAAGTTAGCGAAGTGGCCGGGGGAGGGGGAGGAGGGTGGAAATGGGGGGCGAGGAGGAGGAAATTGAGGGGGTGGAGGCGAGACAGGGGGAAAGAGGATGGAGGTGACGGGTCTCAGGAGGTGAGAAATCAAGTTCGAGGAAGCCGACTGCCGGGCGGAGTCTGAATGGGGGCCGGCGGCCGGCGACTAGGCACAGTCGGGTTGGCGGGTGGGGACACTCGGAGGCACAGATCTCCGCCCGGAGGCTCGGGAGCCCGGGCGGCGGTGGCAGCTGCGCGAGGGGAGCGGGGGCGTGTTTGGCCTAGCCGAGGCAAGGGACTTGAAGTTAGCAGCTTGCAGTCGGGGGGGGGGGGGGCTTGAGGCACAGCGTCCTGGGTGCACTGGCGCCCCCCTCCCTGTTTCAGTTCGGTAGTGGAGCCTGGCAGGTTCAGCAATCCATCTCGGCGGCGGTCCTTGGAGCCCCGCGTTGCCCGCCACCACCGCCAAGCCGAGCGCGGCTGCCCAACTTCTGGCGCCTCCGCCTGCCCGCGCCTCCTCCTTCTCCTCCGAGGCCGCTGCGCGCTCCCCACGCCGGCTGCGCGCTCCGAGTCCTCCCGCCTCTCCTTCCTCTCCCCGCTTCTCCTCTCGCCCCCTCACTCGCCGCCTCCTCGCAGCCACGTCCCTCCTGCTCTTTGCAAAGTGCTCCTGGCCTCCTCGCGCTTCAAGGTGCAGGGAGGTAAGTGGGGGGGGGCAGCAGATCTCGGGGAGACAGATCTGGAGCCTGCGGATCGCAGCCGCTGCCGCCGCCCGCCGGCCGCGAGAAGCGCCCGCACGCTGCGCTCGGCTGCTGAAGCTGGAGGGAGGCGGTCCCCGCCTAGGGCATCGGTGACGGCTCCTTCGGCTTCCCCCGCACCCCCAGAACCAGAAACCCCTTCTCGATCTGACCACGCTGGAACTGAGAAGCCGAAGAGCCTCAGGTTGATCTTGCTGTCGTTATTTTTCGTTGTAACTTCAAAAGAGGAGGAAAGTAAATTCTCGAGTCCCCTCGTTGACGTCTGGACACTTCACCCTCCCCCACCACTCCACCCCACCCTACCCCAGCTTGGGGGGGCAAGTTTTTACAGGATTCAGGGTTGTTCCCCCCCTTAGGTGACACCAAAAAAAAAATGGGTGACAGGAGGGCTTGTCAAAATGGTTCTAGAAACTCAAAAGTGCCTGGACACTTTTTTCTTATATATTCATTCCTGTCATTCCTGGAGAATAAGGATGAATTGCTTTTTTTTTTTAAGAACTGAAAAAAATGACAGCGTGGTAACTAAAATAAGTAATAAATTGCAAAAACGCTTACTGAGAGGGGCAAAAAAATAAGTAAACAGCGGTTATCCGTAAATTTTCAATCTTTTATTAAGCCTAGTCTTCGGCTCAGACTAAGTCTAGTGTCTTGAGGTTCTTCTCACCACTCCCCCCCCCGGGGGGTTAAAAATAAAAATAAAAATGCTTCAGTGATTATTTATGTATTTGTTTCCTGGCATGTTTTTTAAGGCGATTTTGGAATCCCCAAAAGTTTGTGGTCGAGAGATGAAGGAGTGCGGGAAAAAAAGCGGCAGTTTTTACCTAAAATGTGGTTTTTGGAGGCTGGGATTTCTAATGATTAGGTTTTTGTGGTTTCTATAGACACGACTCAAGCTAAGGCGATCATTAAGCTGATGGGAGACAGAAAGAAGCACGTGGGTGTCTTCGACCAGCCTCAATTTCTGAGCCTTCAAAAACAAATCAAACAATGTGCAGCGCCCACAGAAGCCGGGAAATCCGTTGGAGGCTGCTACACCCCCAGAACTAGGCGCAGCAACATCGGGTCGGGCCATTTCACTCTCGCGTGATGTTCTGTATGTCTTATTTAACCGATTGTTTAAAACTTACAAATATAATCATTTGCCAAAGCCCCGATGATTCCTAACAGGGTAGTTGACACGTTCGCGACTTCGTGCAATCAATAAAAAATTGGAGTCCTCCCCCTCTTGCTCCCTTGAAGGACTGAGGTAGAGGACCAGCTGGGTACCCTACCTCCGGTCTCCTGTCTTGGTTAAAGCTCTTCGCATAGTCATTAATTGGAGCTTTTATTGCTGGTGCAAATGCCTCCCAAGTTCTGCAAGAGACGTGTCAAGACCCTTCCTATGGGCTTTTAAAGCGCAGCTGCCACTCCCTGGCCGGCCCCGTGGACCCACAGGGCCAGGGAAAAGAGGTTGTTTGCACCTATGCGGGACTCAAGAGCCAGGCGAGCACTAGATAAGCAAGGATCTCTGTGCTCAGGTGACTTAGAGACTCGAGTTTCCTTGCCTAAGAGTATGCTGGGGTCTGAGGAGTGGACAGGTATGCGAGTGACTGTGTGCCCTCTCGCAGGCGTAGGGGTGAAACTGGGGGACACTACCGTGCCCTCCCTCTTTGTGTCATTATGTCTGCCTCTCCTGTCTGCTGGCTCCACTTACACTATTCCCGCCTTGTCGGTCTTTCCTAGTCTCTTTGCTCTTTCCGAATCCCCCCCCCCCCCATTCCTCCCACAGACTTGAGCCACCTCCCCAAGCCTGCCTCTCAATCTCCGTCTTCTGCTGCCGCCTGCGCCTGCGTCTCCTCCAAGCTACAGAAAAGCAATTCGGCGCCACCAACTGAAACACCTACTCCCCACCCTGTTCCTCTCAGTTGGTGGCCTCCATGTCCCTAGCGCTCCGCTTCAGGACCACTGAAGCCATTTACCTCGAGGCATTATAGGCGCAGCGGGTTGCTGAACTGCCTCCTAAAGGTTCCACGTTTAGTAACCTTTTTGATCACAGGGGAGAGCTCTAACCCTGAACACAGAGGCGCTGCCTGTGCGCTATAGTCTCCCCATCAACAAATGCCAGCCCCGTTAAGGAAGCCAGGCTCCCTTCCCCATCTGAGAGATTGCACCCAACCAACACCCACCTTCTTTACACACTCACTTAAACTCTCACACACTGACATCATGACAATTACATGCTTGCCCCTCCTGCCTTTAGTGGTCCAGTTTTCTAGGGGGGCACATCTGATGGAGATGGCTTGTTTTCCATACTCCTCTTTGTAAGTGTCTGGGGACTACAAAAGAGGGGAGGAGTCACGGGAAATGGATTTATTCTGAAGTCACAGATAGAAAGTCATTGGGAGATGATATTATGTCCTCCTCCTCCCAGGAAACCTACAAGGAACTTCCAGAAACTGACAGACACTGAGAAGCAGTCAATATTTCAAATAGGAACTCTCAGAGGGGGGCTTTTCAACAAGAAATTCTAGGCTCCTTTGAATCTAAGAAATCCTCCTATCTTGGGGACTTTTTCTTTCCTACTCTTGCTGTTTAGTTACCATTGGAGGTGCCAGGGGCGGGGGGGGGGGGGAGGGAGGGAACTTGATGGATAATGAAACAAGCAGGCCTCAATGGTTGGGGATTTTAAGGACAATTTAATCAATGGCGAGATTATTTATTTGAATTAATTGTATCCGGTAATTCAGCTTTATAGCCTTCCTGGGTATCCTCTCGCCATTAAACATTCCAGTAGAACTAATGTAAGCAGCTCTTGGAAGTTCCCAGTCTTGGATCCCTTAAAATATCCTACAGTTATTTATAATGTGGAAATGAAATTTTCCACTGAATGCGCTAACAACGGCTCAGGTATCTGGCACCGAGGACTTCGGTCCCCTTTCAAAAACACACTCCCCCTGAGCGCTCACACTCTTGGCTGGAACTGATGGAGCCTGGAGCTGGCAAGGCCTTGGCTCTGAGCACTAAACTTCAAGTAGGACACAGTTCCAAGGCCACTTCACCCAGACTCCCCTAATAGTAAGTACATAGGGAGATGAAGAGCCTTCTGCTTAGGCGTCTTTGCTGCTGTGCAAATCTTGATCTTACTCCACGGCTTGGATTTTTCTTCTACAGGAAAATGTTCCAAGCAAAGGCTGAGAACACAGTTCATTCGGTAAAGTGCTTACTGCATGGGGCATGAGGTCCTGAACCCCACACCTAGCCCCCTCCCAAAGAAGCAGAGTCAGATGGTGTGTTTGAAATCTGGTGCTGGGTAGGCCAGACAGAGCAATCAATCCCTGGGACTTGCTGCCTAGACAGCCTAGCCTACAAGGGCGTCCAGACCAGTGAGAGCCGGCACATAACACACACACACACACACACACACACACTCACACACACTCACACACACTCACACACTCACACACACACTCACACACTCACACACACTCACACACACTCACACACTCACACACTCACACTCACACACACACGCACACTCACACACACACTCACACACTCACACACACTCACACACACACTCACACACACTCACACACACGCACACGCACACTCACACACACTCACACACACACTCACACACACACACTCACACACTCTCACACACACACACTCACACACACTCACACACACACTCACACACACACTCACACACTCACACACACTTACACACTCACACACACACACACACACACACACACCACTCTAAGCAGATCACCCACTGGATCCCTCTTCAGAAATATTCTTTTCAGCTATATGTTACAGTGCTAAAAATACATTTTTCCCCCTGAAGATTTACCTACTCTGAAAGACACAAGCACAGCCTTCCCCTGCCGTCATGCCCTTTAATGTTTAATGCAACTGTTACATAACCATACCTGGCAATTCTAACTTTCCAAAGAAAGTGTGATGTTAACACAGTCTTCTTTCTTGCTTTGCCTTTTTTTTTTTTTTGGAGGGGGGCATGGAAGGAGAGGGCAGGGAGAACTGAATTCCCAAACCAGGAACAGAATTCAGGCTTCATCCTAACCCCACCTGCATTATTTTGTATACTTTTTCTCTTTTCATGATGAAAAGAGGAGAAAGTCCCTGTAAAACCTTAAAATACCTTTCAGTGAACCAGTTAATAAAGTAGGATAGCCAATGGAAAATCCTAAACTCTCTGAAGGGGTGTGTGTGAGGGGGAGGAGTTTATAAGCAGAAAGCTCTATGGAAACTTTTCTTTGGAGTTTGACTGTATGAGGTTAGCCTGGAGAACCAACGCTACCACCAAACCAACAGTTATCATGCCGGAGCCCATGGGATAAATCTGGCCTTTTTGCACTGACCTACAGGCTGTGGTGTTCATGTGAATGTGTAAGCATGTTTGCATGTTTGCATACTCGTGGGCACACCCACTGTGTGGCACATGTGAGTGGATTTGCATACAGAGACTCTACATGGATACTGGGGAACCATCCTGGGTTGCTCTCAAACAAATTTGATCTGGGGATCCCCAGGCTTTGTTTCTGAGGCTGACATTGAGGAGCTGGCATTGGAGGCTGGCAAAACAGCCAACATTTCCATGTGTTCTGGGAATCTGAACTTTAATCCCCTCTCTTGCATGACAAGAACTTTTTAAAATTTGTATTTATTCATTTTGTATGTATGCGTGTTTTGTCTGTATACATGTCTGTGCAACATTTGAGTGTCTGGTACCCTCAGAAGATTGAAGAGGATGTTGGGTCTCCCTGGCAACTGGAGTTATAAATAGTTGTGATCCACCACGTGCATGCTTGGTGGAATCAAACCCATGTCCTCTGAAGAGCAGTCAGTGCCCTTAACTGCTGAGCTTCCAGCCCAGGCCAGCATTTTAACCACTGTGCCACCTCTCCAGCAAGGCAATATTTTGATAGGTTTATTACTTATGTTTCATTCATGGTTCCACAACGA